GTTTCTTCGGAACCAGCGTCTCCGAGCCAACATTCACCTCAATCTTGGGGCTCCGCACCACCTACGCCTCCCAAAAAGGCCAAGGAGGAAGCGAAGGAGGCGTTTGGATTGAGGTAGGTTACCCTCTCTCTCTCTCTCTCTCTCTCTCTCTTTCCGTTTCTCTCTCTCTCTCCTCTCTAAATTACACACTTTTCAGCCCTACCAAAACTTCACCACCATTTGCCTACGGTACTACCTCCCTGACGGATATGCTACTACGTGAGAAGCAGAGAGAGGAGGTACTCTTTTCAGAATCGCTGTCCCTGACTTACCTTGCCTCCGCTTCCAAGCTGAGTCATAAACTCACTCCCAGGTCCATTCCTCAATTCATCGATCCACATCCGGTTCCGCTCTGCATCACAGCCACCATTCGAGTGGCGAGCTTCCGCATTATCTACGGTAGGTAATTGACGTTATGCGTCCTATAGACTTATTGGAGTTATTGGAGTTACAATATCTGTCCTCGATGCTAAGCGCTACGGATCTGCCGCAAATCCAAACCCGAACTGTGTCTCAAAGAAAGCTTGTAGGGCCGTGAAGTGCTAGTTGCAAAAATCCCAATACGCCAAGCATATTTTGCGTAATCCGTCGCTATCGAGACCCGTTTCATTCAAGGGGCCCATTGCGACATTTCTTTATTTTTAATATAACGGGTTTAAAAAGTTGGAAAATATAAAGTTCCGTCAAGGGCGCAAGAAAGCTCTACCCGTTCTAATGCCCCTAGGACAAGCCAAGGTTCCCTGGGCAAAAGACCGTGGGAAGCGTGAATAACGGCCCGGCCAGCGATGTGTCATACACCATTCCGCTAGCACGCGGCGCATTTTTAAATCTATGCTAAATTCTAGGGTTTTAAGGGAAAGACACAAAATTTCCATGGTTATTATTGTCCGCGGATTTATTGCGGATTTTTTGCCGTGAAGGGAAATACGAACCTTTGATTTATCAGGCGGAATGTGTTCGGATATGATCGCTTTTTAGCTATATTGTATAGATATTTTTATATGACATGAAATTGAAGGTTTATTGGTACTTTTCCAGCATTTTACGGACCTTTATCGAATCGAAATAGCCCCCCGCCCCAAAAGCTGACTCCTCCCCCAAAAACAGCCCGTTTATTCAGCTCGGAGGGCAGTGAGTCAAGCAGCCGAGGAACTGTTATCAACACAACAAATAGGGACAGGGAGGGAAGAGCCGCTGAGGAAGAAGCAATACGCAGGGCTACAGCCACCTCTTCGCCCCTTCATCGACCCGGTATGGCTCGTTCGGTTGATAAGCCCCCACCTTTCTCACGCCCTCTCTCTCTCTCTCTCTCTCCCACTCTCTCACCTACCCCAAGCCTTGCCAGGCTTTTATGGCTGCATTCAAATTTTTTCCTCTGGAGGCTGGTACTGCTGCGAATTTTTGTGTAATTTTTTGATGTTTTTCTCACTCTTTCTCTATTTATCTAGTTCTCTTTTACTCTCTTCCTCTCTCTCTCTCTCTCTCTCTCTCTCTCTCTCTCTCTCCACGCTATCTGTATCCGTCTCTCGCTTTGTCTCGCCCGCTCCCTCGCTCTCTAGCTCTCTCGATTTCTCTCCCGTGTTTCTTACTCTCTCACCTCTCCCTCTCTCCCTCGATTTATCTCTCTCTCACTCTCTCTTTCTCTCTCTTTTTATCGCTCTCTCTCGTTCTTTCAAAAATCCACTAGATTTTTAGCCATGAGCTCGTCCCCTTTAGCCAATTTCCACTTCCCCGAGGCCCCGCCCACCGGTCTGCCAACATACTCAAAACGCGTAGAAGAGTTACCTCACGGACGTACTGTCATTGAGGAGAAGGTGGGTTCTTTTTCGCGCTCTTTCTCGCTCTCTGTCTCTCTCTGTCTCTCTCTCTCTCTTTGGATTCATCCCATTTTAGGTAGTCCCCACCTCTCACGGCTATTCCTCTACCGTCACCAAGACCACCACATTGGAATTTGGAGCCGGGGCAAGCTCTTATCCGAAAAAATAAATCGAGCTTTTAGACCCACGTTGACTCGGCCCTCCATCTGATGGATCGATATTCACCCCTGCCCGGCAAATACGAGCAGCCACCAAGTGAATACTCCAGTCGATACGCCAATATTGGTTACGGCACGCTACCTAACCAACGCTACAGCGAGCAGTCAGTTTTTTTTCCAAAATGACCGATACCGTACCTGTCATTTGGATTTTGGACTGGGGCTAAATTAAAGGAATTGGCAAGCGGCCAAGTTTAAGTATCTTTTTTAGAACGATTCTCTCTGCCGATCCGCAACGCTCCGATGATTCCTCGAATAACGGTGGTACGCTGTCGCCGATGAATGATGGGACTGTTAGGTATTTTTTTAGCTTGACGATTTTGTTAAGTAAAGGATCGGTATCATAGTTTATACAATTTTATGATTTGGGAAACTAGTCAATCCAGCAAAATTTCCAGGCATTTTCCTGGCGTAATCGAATAGGATCGGTCAATCGCTGAAACTGCTTATTTCCATAAAATTTATCGGACTTTCAGAAACGGATAAAACGCTAAACTCGACTGCTGTTATTTACTAGGGCTCGACAGCTATGTTTCACATATAAAAACAAGCGGTTTTAAAGTTTTGTGCCAAGCCTTGAATGTTCAAAAATCGGCTTATCTTGGCAAAATAAGCTTGGCGTCACTCGTAGCTATCGGGACCTAGTCAAATGAAAGCTCCATTCTGACGCTCCCTGACCCTTTAAAAGCATATTTTCCAGATACGTCTTCGATGAAAGATCCCGTACCCACGTGCCGCATGTCATTAGTAATGGCAGTAGCTCGGAAACGGCGACTGAAGTAAGCGTACTCTCTCACTCAATCTCTGACTCTCTCCCTCTCCCGGTTTTTCTCGACCTCTCTTTATTTCTACTCCTCGATCCAGATTGATATCTTCTACTTCAGAACGACACCGGGGTGTACGCGTACGGTACGCTGCCGGAAATCAGGGGCACTAGGATTGGGCAGGGCGTCATGCCGGTTAGAGTAAGTATTTTCAAAGGAAAATATTTTGGAAAATTCTGCAAATAATTGCAAGCAATGCGTTTTAAGCTACTGTACAAATCCTATAAAAATTGTGTTTTAGGAGACCGTAATCGACGATATTCCGGTTGCTCCACCTAGGCCGCACCATGGGACGGTCGAAATTATTGGAGGAAATGATCGTGAAGGTAACTAGGGTTTTGAAAGTGTCTCTGTATATTTTCAAACCTTTTATTAAATATCGTCAAATTACAGTACTCGTTGACGACGCCTTCCAACGCGATTCCAACTCCAGGCTATCGCAGCACCATCTGAAGGTGATTTGACTGATTTTTGAAAATTGGAGGATTTCTAGGGAGTTAGCCAACAACGGACGAGTACAACACAGTCGAGTACTGTGACCTACGGTACGTCAAGCTGGTCGAAAAATCCCAAAATGCATTTTTAGCAAATCACGAGCATCGAGCAACGCTGGCTAATGACGATCGGGTCGGTCAAATTTCGTATTATAAGAGAAGTGTGACTTTTTACAGTCTTTCTCCCACGCTCGTTCTCTCTCTCTCCCTCTCCCTCTTGCTCATTCTCTCTCTCTCTCTCTCGCTCTCTCTCTCGCACTCTTTCTCTCGCTTTCTATATCTCTCTGGCTCTCTCGCACTCTTTCTGTTTCTCTATCTCCCTCGATCGCTATTACCCACCCTCTCACTTTCACGGTCCCTCCCGCTCTCTCTCACACTTTCTCGCTTTCCATGGCAAAAAAGAACTTTCCCTCGGTCTCAAAACCTTGAAAAAGCGACACCGGCGATCAGCAGGAATCCGAGAAATTGATTGATGGATCCGTCTCTCTCATTGCTATGACAAGAACTCGAGATTTATCGCGCTCTTTTTACAGGGTACCTACTCGTATTTTTATTTTTATATTCAAGAGGTTACGAAAGGGTTTTAGCCTCCCGTTGACGGTACAGGAGAGCGGATATCCCAAATGTACTCGCAGATCCAGAAACCACCACCACCCCAAGTGCCGCAGCATGGAACACGGTAAATTTTTGTCGTTATTTCTGATTTTGATGATTTTTGCAATGTTTTAATGTTATTTTTTAGTATCTGTAATTGTAAACTTCGCTTGGAAAAAAGCTATAAAACCATGGCCTGATTTTAGAGTCGAGTCCGAAATCCGCGAGGCGGCGTACGGCTCGGTGTCAATGCGTGAGACCAGTGGAAGGACCGTTAGGAGGTACTTTACACAAACCATTCCTTGGCTGGTTTAAAATCGTTCAATTCGAATATTTTTCGATAATGCTGAATTGGCGAATGAAACCCTTGAAACCTCTAAAAAACCCGCAAACAACAGGGAGAAGCAATATTTTTTGTGCGTTTTTTTGTCGATGATGACGATTTGTCGATAACGTGTGATGACGATTTCGCCTGTCCAGACCCTTTAAAATTTATATTCATAAGATATAGTTTAGTATTGCAAACTTTAGGGCTCCTGAACGTGTCGTCAACTCTGGAGTTGAGCAGGAGATGGCGACTCGTGAGGAGATGTTGCGACGGGTATGTGGCTCCTATTTTTTTCCAGTAGATAAGACTATTCGGCTGGTGATTTTCCTAGGGTATCGCCGCTAGCACCCAGCCATATTTCAGAATGACCCTTTTCCCTCATTGAAGGAGTTAGGCGCACGTCAGCGCCTATTTACGGAGACGGATCTCACCATTTCGCGCGTATTCTGTCTTTCTCTCTCTCTCTTTCGCTCCCTCTCTCTCTCTCTCTTGCTCTTTCACGCGCGCGCTCTCTCTCTCTCTCTCTCGCTGACTCTCTCTTCTGACGCAATGCAGGGAATTCCAGACGGCCCAAGACGCCCAGCGCGACAGCTACCTGGAGCGAATGGCCCCATCGGTGCCAAGACCTGTGCCAATGCCCCGAAATGGGTCTCATCCCCCGACACCTGACCGGAATCAGCATCAACAATGGACCGGGTCTCAACAGCAAATCTCATCCCAGCACCAGCAACAAACTACCATCACCAGTACGACACGCACCGACCAGCACGGCAGGAATACGGTCATGATCCCGGAGCGTGAGTTACCAAATCCGAGTTAGTATAATTTTATGGCTTTTGCATTTCCTATGTCAATTAAAGAAACTTGGAATGCAAATACCAGCTGCTTTTTTAGAAATCCGAGACAGTGGTTCGCCAGTGACGTATCGGATTGGATTGGGGCAGAAACAGACGACGACCACCACGGATCAGGTGAGCATGAGACATAGGGCACATAGGAGGAATGGGGCATAGAATCAGGCTCCTCAATATAGGTCCGAATAAGAATGGGCACCCAATAAAAAAATAAGCTTGTTCGGTGAATCTCTCTCACTCTGCTCTCTGTCTCTTGCTGTCATTCTCTCTCTCTCTCTCTCTCTCTCTCTCTCTCTCTCTCTTTCTCTCTCTCTCACTCTCTCTCTCTCTCTAGGTCTCTCTCTAGGTCTCTCTCGCTTTCTTTCAATTTATGGCCTTTACCAGGATCTGCAGGTGTCTCGGTCGTTCGCGCGGTGTCTTTCCCTATATCTCGGGCTCTCTCTTCCTCTCTCTCTCTCTCTCTCTCTCTCTCTCTCTCTTTCTCTAGCTCTCACTCGCTCTCTATTTCTATCGCTCTCACTTAACCCGAGATTGAACGATCAACATCATACGGTGGTTCTGCTTCATTAGCAGGGGAGAAAGGTGACAGGCAATGGACTCCTACTAGGTCTATCGGGAAAACCGGGGAGTGCGCGTGGCCTCCCCCGCTAACAAACCAGAATCCGATACTTAAAATTCCAGGTGCAACGATGGGGCCCCGAAATCCCGGCCTACCATGAACGGTACCCAGACCCCACCCAGAGACCTGGATACGAACCACCCCCAAGGCATCTGGCCGAGGAGGAGGAGACGGACGATTGGAGTGATGAGGGACAGGATAGGCATGGACGGGTTATCGTAAGTTCTATCATAGGTTAGGCAACATAGCGTCTTTTAAAGCACCAGTGAACCTATGAAATGCCCTACTGCAGTTGTCACAACTTTATGAATTTCAGACTGACACGACGGTCACACAAAGACGTGTGGAGCACCAGGGCCATCGACCGAGCCCCATCCAACCGCCACCCCCAAACGTCCAATATGATAACGATCCGAGGAGTCCGAGTAATATTTTTATGCCTATTTAACGCTTTTCTCTAAGGTTTAAGAAGGGCAAGGCAGTGCTATGGATTCCTAATGCTTTAAATTCAGGATTCAATAGCATGCGCGATAAGCAACTCAAGCGCCGTTTTTCTGCCATAAGGGTATCGAAATTTATTCCGTAACGGGAGGCGGATTAACGCGTTGCGTGTCGCATCGTGGCCGAACCGATAGGAAATCCATAATAGTCCTTTGTCAGTCCCTTTAAAGCCTCGGAAATCCCGTAAAATTTTCATTTTTTTGTTCAGGCGACCGCGTCTACCCGAGCACCCCGAAACACGGTAATTTTCTTTGTATTTTTTTGCTATCCCAAGCTTGGTACCTTCTGTTGTATAACGTTTCCGTGTTTCCGAAAAAGCACCGGCTGATTGCCCTTCATTTCAGACCCATTGAGAAACCCTTTGCTGGAAGGGCAGCACGATGATCCGAACGCGAGGAGGAGGAAAGAGATGGAGAAACGGTAAGAGAGAGGGAGAAAGAGAGGAAGCGTGTGTGTGAGAGAGTGAACTAAAGTGAGGGAGAATGAGAACACACTTGTGTAAGCGAGACATAAGGAGGCATAGATAGAAATAAACAAGAGAGTGAGAATGAGTAAGCGAGAGCGTAAGGGAAGAGCATGAGAAAGAGCGACAGATCGAGGTTGAGGGAGGGATAGATAGAGAGTGCGAGTGTCAGCTAGAGACGCTGAGAGAGCGAAAGAACGAGAGAAAGGGAGAGGGAAGGGAGACCCAGGGAGAGGGGAGAGAGAGTGAGAGAGAGAGAGGGAGAAAGAGAGCACTAGAATGTGCCAAACACGTAAATAAATTAAGACAAAAAAGATCTTGCTACGTGACTCATCTTCTTAGGTCGAATAGTAATAATATTAGGACAATAACGGTCATTCCACAAGGATTTCTGCTAGCCCCTCCCGCAAAATCAGCATATTTTAGAATCCGAAACCGTACCTCATACTTCGGGCCCGAGTATCCCCACTGGAAAATGAAGTTTTTCCTGACGGTCTGCGTCCCGATTACCGTAGCATGCGCCCTAATCGCCCTGCTTACATATATTTTGTTCAACTTTGAGTAGTGCATGCATCAAAATTAGTGGAAATCGAATTTTTTGATTTTTCGTTGAAAATCCCAATATCGTCAGATTTATAGCATGTTTTCCTATTAACTCCATATACGTGTCTAGTGATGCATGTCTTCCGAAAAACTAACAAGCATTAACAGCCTAAAAATTGCCCTAACTACCGTAGCCTGAAAATGGTGCGACTAACAGGTGGAGGTGGAGGACCGGCTGAAAATTAACATTAGAATTTTACGTTGTGTGATTAATCCGCATTAGAGGGATTGTGAAGGCAAAAACAACCTAAATACTGCCGTCACAACCCCCTTTAAAGGGACGGGCAAGGCTTGACTTGGCTCGTTGGTATGGATTGCCTATGAATTTTCGTACCGCAGCACGCAACTCGCACTCCACGGAGATTTGCGTAATAGCTATCGCGTTGCGTGTCGCGGCTGCGGCAAATCTCCTAGAAAAGACATAGCAAAATCCATAGTACTGCCTTGCCGGTACCTTTAAAGACGGCGGCAAGACACGATTTTCGTTTTTTGACGATAGTTTCCCTATGGAGCTTTTCGTGCCGCTACACGCAACGCGCACCTTTAAACATTGCGTCGCGGACGGCGTTGCGTTGAGGCCGTCCGGCTTACGCGTTGTTGCTTTCACCTGAAAAAATGGTTGGTATGGTTGCCGCGCCGCGACAACGCGCGCGCACGCACGCCATTCCATTGCGGAATAATTTTGGAGCAAAGACATACGCAAAGCGACGCGTTGCGCGTCGCGAGGCCTGCCAAGTTCCCAGGTAATCCATCGCAAAAAAACTATGATTATCGCTATGGGCCAGCTTCCGTTCCGACGTGGCCCTTCAAAAACCGTTAATTTGATTGCGTGATGTGTTAGACCCTTTTCGCTAGCGGGGCGTTCGTGTTGCGTGTTAATAAAAATTTAATATACGATCGTCCGCCATAGCGAAAATCCACAGTCCTGCCTTGCCAGTCCCTTTAACTTACCTACTAAGCCGTACCGACTTACTTACTACTATCATTTTTTGCTTGCAGGAATCCACTGCTAGCGTGTTGCCCATGTTGCGGGGATCCAGATCCCGAGGCGGATGCGGCGGGGCGGAGCAACGCGCTTTGCCCGCCCGTCTCGACGTGGCCGAACCGGAGCTGCATCCTGTGCTTCCTGTGCCTCGTCATCGCGCCCCTCTTCCTAATCGCCGCCATCATGACGCTGATCATCTGCGGCGTCATACCTATACACTAGGTGTACTGTATGCCGGGGTGCAAGGTAGGCGTGTATCATTGATGTGTGGTGGTGCTCTGCCCGTGAGGTAACTTACCACCCCTCCCCCCTCGTCCTCACTTATTGTATCGCTTCTCCCCGTTGTGCTACAGGGTTTTAAAGTATACCAAAATACTCGCCAGAGCGAAGCGAACATTTTTGTATACTTTACAACCCTGTAAAACAACGTAGGGCCTAGCAAAAAGGTTGGAGTTGGACGGGGGCCCTCGGTACTGGACTGTTAGCAGGGGGGAACTAGTTTTTGTCTTTCCTTCTATAATAACAAGACTGTATTTGATAATGGGTTTCATAGGTTTTGATTGCTAGAAAGTTACAAAAAAAACATTTTAAAAATTTAAAAAAATTTGAAGAAATAAAAATTTTCCAAAATTTTAATAAGTATTCCTGGCGTTCTATATCTAAAAAATGTGTAAAATTTTATAAAAAGGGTAATCGGTTGATTTTACCGCATAGAATCTGGCAAAATTAGTTTCCACCTGCTAAAACCTTCCACCCCCCTCTAACAGTCCAGTACCTAAGATGCACCTCCTGGAAGTCTTGCCGTGCCGGGCCGCGACACGCAACGCGCGTATAATTTCTGCTTTTGCAAGCGTTGTAATCCATTACGCAATGGAATTCCGGGTGTATGCGATGCGGACGACGGTGCGGTAAATCCATCCAAATAGATAGCCTCTAAAATTCAAATAAATGTTATCTCTCTCTTCAACGTATTTTGGAGGCAGAAATAGCCCGAAATTTTTTCTTAACTTTCTCACAATACGTTTAAAGGGGCCAACAAGGCTTGGATGTAGACCTAACCGCCTCCCGACATGCCACGGAACCCATTATGCAGTGTAATTCTAAACGCGCGGCAAGATCCATAGTTACAAAAAAGCTTTCGCGCCTTCTACGGTCCTTTAATGGCACTATTTTTTTTTGTTTAGAAATCGCTTCGACTTCCTACTACTCAACCCACGAGCCACCGTGTGACCTTTCCTATCTCGCGTCTAGCTACCGTAACCCAGCTCTAGGCTATCGTAACGCTGAGCCAGGCTATTTTATCTTTGATCGACCCCACCGAAACTCAATGCTAAGTGATTGTATTTCTGAGCCGTGTTACCGTAACCCAACGCCAGGCTACAGTAACCCGGCGCCCGCTTACCGTACCCAATTCCTTACCAATCTTCCGGCGACTACGATCCCATCCGATCCCATACCCCCGAAAACACCTCTCACATCGACCCCAATCCTCTCCTGCAGCCCCTCTTCAAATTCTCAAATCCTCCCAAATCTCGCCAACTATTTCCCACCCTCACCCCATCCATATTCTGCCGTTGGAAAAATACGTATATCCGCCAAAAAATTCTACCTGGAGACGAGCATCTGATTGAAAAACACAGCTGACCACTACTGCTGCCATATTTTGTATGTTCTTGCGTGAAATAAATATTGTGTTCCTTTAAAGGGCGAGAGAACAAAGCAAAGAGAGTCCGTGAGAGTGAGAGTGAGAGAGACAGAGAGAGAGAGAGAAAGAGAGAGAGAGAGAGAGAGCGACAGGAAGACGAGCGGGAGAGAGGGAGCGAGAAAGAAAGAGAGAGAGAGAGAGAAAGAGAGCGCGCACTGAGCTGAGGTTAATCTCGCTTCAAAAACACATTACCCTGTTTTTTATCTATATTTGGGGGTGTTTTCTCCAGCGCCTTTGCTGATTGGCTCCTGCGTAATGGCACCCGGCTCTTGAAAACAAGCTTATGCCATATATGTTAATCTCACTGATAATAACCGGGGTTGAACTATTCAGCCCCGCCCAGCTCAGCCTGATCTTATAATAGTCGCTACTTTTCATGATCTCATCACTTCTGATGACAAAAAATAAAAAGCGCAACCTCTCCAACATTTTGCGGGCGCGTCCGTATTTAATTGCGTCATACCAAAGGGGGTGCCCGGGATATTAAAGACCGCCAGAACGATGAAATTCCGAACCAGCGATGGTTCGATCCACAGTCCGACGCGCTAGCCACTATACCACAGGGCCGAGTGGGGAAGGGAGTCGGAGGAGCCCCAAACCCCAGAGGGCCTTTGCCCAGTACGGGGCGCCACTAATGACGCCTCTCTCCGCGCGTTCTTGGGGGGCCGCACCCCCGGGTGACAGTGTGCGTTCCAGAGTTCTAGCTGTCTTTAAAGGGCTGCCGACGGCACGTGTCGGTCGCCCCCCCCCCTCCCCCCATCAACAAATTGGCAAGTTTCCAACAGGGTAGATAGCGCGCCCAGGGGAGAGGCGCAGCACAAACGCCCATGGGTTCGGTCCAGATGGTTCAAGGGAAAGGGCGTACTCTGCGTGTTTCTGACGCTTTGCGCACGGGTTCGCGAAATAGCGACCGGTTTTTAGCTGCGCAGGCCTGCTTTCGTAATTGCGCGACGCGACTATCTCACGCGTTGCGGTCTTCCCTCCTTTCCAAAACTACCGGTAGTTTTATTAAGAACCGGGCGCTGTGGCAGGGCCCTTTTCTTCCGGCGCGTAACCGACTATGCCGTCGGCATCCCTTTAAGGAAAACTTTAAATGAAAATCGAAAATAGTAATTTGTGGAAAAACTGATTTTTGTGCACTCATCTCGAGGCCATTACGCATTCGATATCTGCGAAAATGGATACAAATGTTCTCATGTTCTCTGCAATGGACATGTGAGAACAGTTAACAGCGAGAAGGCCTAATGGCGAGAACGCAACACGAATGTTGAAATTGGAGCCATTGGCCAGGAAATTACCATAAAATATTTGAAAAGGTATTTTGAACCTGAATCTGGAGGAGGCAGGTTGATCGCGAAACTAAAAATTTCCACATCAGAGCGCTGTGGCTGGCGCCTTTTTGCTCTTGGCCCAAGGTTCGCTTTACGCAAAGCTAGCATTCTAATCTTTAAATATTGGAATGAGATCAGTGCTCAATTCTAGATGCCCTACCAGAGCGCTGCGTCCAAGGCAGCGGATACGGCCTGGCAATCGATCCAGGACCTCGGGGGCGCCTCAACCGACAGCGAAGCGCGTTCTTCAGCTTCATCTTTTACGTGGGAATTAAGTTTATTTTTGCAAAATTTTTTGTGGTTGGGTTTGAAAATAGAGTTCCTTTCTCTTTCTCACTCCTTCGCTCTCTCTCTCTCTCTCTCTCTCTCTCTCTCTCTTTCTCTCGCTCTATTTATCTCCCTCACTCTTACTGTCACTCGCCATCTCTCTCACTCACTCGATATCTCTCTCTATTTCTCTCTCTCTCTCTCTCTCTCTCTCTCTCTCTCTCTTCTCTCTCTCTCTCTCTCTCTCTCTCTCTCTCTCTCTCGCTCTTTCCTCTGTCACCCTCCCTCGTTCTGTCCTCTGTCTATCGCACGCGCTCTGGTCTCTCTGCCTCTCTCTGTTTCTGCATCCGCCTGTTTCGGAAGATGATCGACGACGTTAGCGTTTCAGCTGTCATGTTTTTCAGAGCTCCTGGCTGTATGAACTCGTGTTGCCCGAGAGTCAGCGATGCCACGTGGCCCAAGAGCAGGTAATAATAATAATCTGGCCTCGCCAAAAACAGCTTTTTAAGGTCCATCGCCAGATTGCCGATCGGCGGGCCCGTGCAAATCGTGAGCGGGGCCACGGTGGCCGAGGTTTGTTGCATGGCCAATAATCGGACATCTTGTAATGTTTCAGATGATCTTGAGAGCGGCGAGCACCCATCAATCTATGCCAGGCCTCCCGGTAAAACATCTTTCTTTATCTCCCTCTAATTTTTACCATTCTATCTCTGAATTTGATATTTTTAGGACTCTTGAAGGCGTTTCTGGTCAGCATCTGGCGCCGCTGCGAAGGCCTTTGGATGTTGTTGAAGGTTACCTGAGTTGATCGTATTTTGAGAAAGTCCATTTTTTTAGGATTTCCTTCAAATCGACCGCTGATTTGACGACAGACGACGGCCGCGAAGATCCGGAAGCTGTGTGGGTTGAACCGCCTGCGACGACGCCACGAGGCGAAGCAGGAGCTGATTTTGCCGCGGCCCACGAGGCTCGTATTGCTGGTCTGCAGGCAAGTAGAACGCGACTCGTCCGCAAATCATTTCCGCATAAGAAAAATCGGTACTGGACCGTTAGCGGAGGAGGAGTTTTGGCAAGGGGGAAACTAATTTCTGTTTGTCGAGCTATTGATGATATATTATGTCTTTTTAAAAGGTTTCAAGTATTTTTTGATCGCTAGAAAGTTACAAAAAATAGTTTACCAAATTTTTCAAATTCGGAAATTTTTGATCTTTTATGGCATTTTCGATACTTTTTGGGGTTCTTTAGGATTCCGGGGGGGGGGAACCAATTTTTTTCCTGGTGGTCCCGGTTGACCTAGTAATCAAATATTAAGTGTTTTCGAATTGTTTTTAGTAAGTTTTAACTATATTTAAAGCAGAATCTTTTCAGAAAAATTTAGAAAAATGTTTGAAAAAGTCGGAAATTTGGTCATGTTGGGTCTTTGCCCCGCCCCCGCGAATCCTAAAGAACCCTTTTTGGCCAAAAATTCGATTCCATACTTTTGCCCCCCCCCCTCCGCCCACTTTAACAGTCCAGAACCGACACCGGTCTAGCTAATCGTGGCTTCCCATTCCTATGTTTATGTCTATGCTTCAGAGTTGTAAGGAGGCTGTACGCGAGGGTAGACGTCAAGCGGGCCGAATGCGCGGGGAGACAGAAGCTCAGAGGAAGCAGGTCGCGGCAGCTTTTGCAATTTGAGCCCTCACCGAAGCAGACTGCCCAATTTTTTAAGGCTTCGTACTCAATTCGTACAAACCCTTTACAGATGGAGGGCACGCTGTTGCTACATATCGACGTGTCGCGCCTCAAGCTCAAGAACCATTTGGAGCGCGTCGAACAAGCCGGCACAAAGGTATTTGACTCGGTGAGAAAATCTGTGAGAGTCGTGTTGATGTTTGTGTTCAGCTACAGGAGATGATGAGGACGAACAGCTTGGGCCCCGCTCATCTACAGGCCCTCGAAAGAGAGGTAAAATGGGCCTGAGTATTCCGCGCACGCCTAGATACCTAGAAATTTTACAAATGGCGCAGGCGTTTTTAACTATTATCGGCATCAAAACTCTCTCAATTTTAATCAAAAAGGTAATTTTAGGCCGAAAAATTGAATTTTTTTTGACCCGAAATGATCAAAAGTTCGAATTTCTCAAGTATTTGGCTAACTTTTTTGCAAGCTTTTGCTTCTAATATAGTTCAAATCTACTAAAAATCGTGAAAGCATATTTCATTAATAGGCCAACCTACACCCATAGGAAAAATACGTCGGTCTCCTCCCCCCCCCCACACAAATACGCAGGAACCTCTTATCCAATGCTTATCTTTCAGCTCAACTGCGCCAATGCCGACCTCACTCGTGTCTTGGAGACAAACGCCTGGATTGCCAATGAAAACGACACTCCAGCTTCACCGTTCCAGGTACCTTTTGTTCTGGCCTTAGCTCTTCTGACCTTATTGGATTGGCATTGGGCAGCGGCAGGCTCAGGCTTAGGCTTAGGATTAGGCTAAGCTTAGGCTTTAGGCATAAGCTTGGGGCTTAGGCTTGGGACTCGGCTAGGCTTATGCTGATGCGGGGCTAAGGCTTAGGCTTGGGATTAGACTTAGGATTAGGACTTATGCTAGGCTTTCGCTTAGCACTTGGGCTTAGGCGTAGGGGCTTAGGCATAGTCTTAAGATTGGGTTGGCTACAAACTATCTGTTGCAGCTGTCATCACCATCTACCGCCTGGACCCCATCGCCTCTTCCGCAAGACCGCGAGGAGGAGGCCATGGTTGAGGTACCGTCATGCTTAACCATCCATCAACAGGGGCCCTGGCATGGCGCACCTGCAAATATCAACTCTCACAAACGCACTGCAAAAACGGATCATTGCTGGCTATTTGAGTATTCGCTGGGGGGACCAAGTCTTTTCGGCACAAATCTTAGAACGAATGTTTTCTTGTCATTAATGAA